TATTCTTCCTATTTGTCAATTTTGTGGGGGGTTTAGATTGCCAATTATATCACACAAATAAATGTCATAAAAATCTCGTCACTTTCAATTTTTTTAACGCCTCACATACCGTAATCCATGTTGTAAGAACAATAAATATTCTTATATCTCAACATGTTTTTTACATATTCAGTGTTAGGGGCAGTCGTGCTATAAGTTTTTTATTTTTATATTTTGCTCCCCTCACTTATTAATCTATGTACATATATGTATAATATACATATAAACAATTACTTTCGTGTCCTTGTCTATATATATATATCACTTGCCATTATCCTTTGATAATTGCTCATCAAACCATTTTCTCAACTCAACTGAATCCATATATAGCGCACAAGAGAGTTAAAATATAATTTTAAAAAAGGAAAGAAAATAATATATTTTCATAATATTATATTTTTTTGACAATCCAAAAATAGACTTGGATTATCTTAGTTATTCTTAGTTGAATTTCTTATAAATTGACACGTAATATTTAAAATCTATCTTTATTAAAATTTAAAAACTGCACCATTTTAAATTACGAAAAATTTATCATAGCTGCATGTTGGATTGGTATCAAATATGATTGGACGTTCGTGCGCGCCAAAGCTGCAACCTGTAAACTATAGGCAAAGCTGGTGGTATTGCCAAAGTTCCAAATGGTATGAACTATGAATGTTCAGTGAAATTATGAGAGCATGTTGTACCTTCTACAATGAACACTGCTACTGGACTCGAAAACGTAGGGTGGAGTGCCCTACAGTAACTCCCACTCAGGGCCTTGGATCCTCCTTTAAAGGCTTCTTTCTCACCTCCATTTTTTAAATTGGAGCTCACCCCAAGTTAATGCTAGATTCGGAGTAAGCCTCAATATAATTGAAATCAAAAGGCAAAATTTTTATATAGTTCTGAAATCAAACCGACCCTTATTGGTGTTGAGATTCGTGATTGATTGATCATGCCATACTTTTTTTTTTTTGATTTGACCATTTGATTGCATTGTTTTATTTTGATGGGTAAAGTGAAAAAAAAAAAAAAAATCTTAAATAGAGTAAATATGTATATTTTGTAATTTAAAGTCTGAAAGACTCAAAATATGCTCTTAGGATAAAATTAAAAATAAAAAACACTGATTTCAAGATGAAAGAGGGGAGAGAGATTTTACCATTTTTATAAAAAAAAATTTGGTCAAAATTAATTATAAACTGATATTAAAAAAGATTTGCACATATTTTCAAACGTGAAGAATTTATATATACACACTAAATGGCAAGGGTATTTTTTTATTTTTTTTTTCTCGCTATACCACCATTTTGAGTGACTTGTACGGTGCATACCATGTCCAGTAAATTTCCAATAATTAAGCTACTTTTCAGTTTTCAGGATGGGTAGGCCTTCGTTTTGAATGAACATTGATTACAAACTTCTATTTCGTCCCCTGATGACAAGGAAATCCACTAACGCTTTTGACAATTTTTTTAATTAGTAAAAAATTCAACTTAGGATAACTTAGAAAATATTTAACTTAAAGAATTTAAGGCCTCCAAACATATATATATATATATGTATGTATATTTTGACAATCTAGAATGTTTTCTGTATATATGTGTGCGTGTGTGTGTGTGAGTGTTTATATATGTATATGGGATAAAAGTTAAAACTGAGGAGAGAAGAAATGGGAAAAAAATAAATAAAAAAAAAGGTTAAAGGACAATTTTGTTTTATAATTTTATATTTTTAATTTTTATAAAGATAGGAGACATCTCAAAAATGATATTATAAACAATAAGGAGAGCGATTGTGGAAAAACATTCGTGATATGGTCCTTGAATTTTTCCACTAAATTACTGTACTAAGTAAATTAATACTATTAATTATAAATTACAATTGGAATATGACAGATTTAACAGTCAAACGTGGACCTATATCCCAATCCAAAAGTGAAAATTTCATCCTATGAGCAACTTTATTGCCTTGGGGAGGTATCAAACCAGTTTGCTTTGTGGAAGTCGTCATAACAAAATCAATGTGGTCAGTCTTTTACAACTCAACAATTATGGAGTCGTCAACAGTGGGCAACTACATTTACTAGACTTCTTAGTTCGACGACTCCAAGGTCCACTGACTTCACCGCGTCGAGCTCATTTAAGATTTTAATTAGTATTCAAAACGGTTAAGGTTTTAATTGTTTCTTCTTTCACCCTAGCAAGATACACCAACAATTCCTCTGCCTTTGGCTAAAAATTGAAGTAATAGCAAGACTATGAGAAGCACGGTTCTTTTATTTAGGGGTGTCTTGGTGATGTCAAACGCGTAGACATATTTAGAAGTATTTTAAAATTTAAATATTTTATATTTTGATTGGACACATGTGACAAAAAGAGATTTGTCTCACATCGAATTCGGATGAAAAAGTGATTGGGTATAAATAGGTAAGTATGCAGCACTACCCATTTTTTAATAAATGGATAAGCGTCCACCCGTTACAATTGGTATCAGAACCAGATACAATCCTTGATCCGATAATACGCCAAGTGTCGAGCCTAGAAGGTGTTCGGGTGACTCACCTGAATAGGCAGTGTGGAGAGAATGTTAAAAAGGAGATTTGTTTTACATCTAATCCAAATAGAAAAGTGATTGGGTATAAATGGGTGGGTATAAAGCACTACTCCCGCCCGTTACAGATGACCAGAACACATTTCAAGACACTGCGGATTAATTTTGTAATTATTTTTATTAAAAGAATGAAATTCAATACAATTTAAAATATATTATGGACTAATACAAAAAATAATATAAAATTTAAAATAACAAATATTTAATTCTAAACTCCAAATTAATGTTTTTATTGATAATTATGTAGAAAAATAAATAATTATTTATATATATATAAATATTATATTTTTTTTTGACTTATTCATAATCGTATCCATATCCATATTTCCCGGACAACAACAAATCTCGTGAGTCATTCTAGGAAAGTTTAAATCATTTAAACAAACTGATTTGATTTGATATGATATTTATTTAATTACTTTCATCTTGATAAGAAATTTATGCAGTTTTTTAAGATAATATATCCTTGTTTTCACATTGAAAGACCAAAAAGTACCAATGAACTACTGGGTAAACAAATTAAGTCAGAATACAAAATTGTAATTTTGAATTTGATTAGTGTCCAGCCTCTTTTAAGCCAATAATTAAGGCTTCATAAAAAGAAGACTATAGAGGTTCCTTTCCCGGCAAAGACCCATTGTTAACATTATGCCCTACTACCTGTAAATATCACTTTTGCCCTCACTAAAATTACAACCAAAAAAAAAAAAAATTCATAAGTTTCTCGGCCTGTCTGTCTCTCTGTTCCTTTTCATTATAGTTTTTCTTTGTTTTATACAATTTTAATTCTAAAAATGTTTCAACAGTTTATTTTTATTTTTATTTTTATTTTTTTTCCTTTAACTTGACACCATGGGCTTTGTAACCTTTGTTTCTTAGTGTACCCTTAACTCATGATGATTTCCAGACCTCGAGAATTTGCAATGAGATATTAAGTTCATGTTTTATTTGTTCTTATTTTGCAAATTTTCTTGCAAGCTTATTATATTCTAAATGTTTATAATGTTTCAAGCTATCATCCTTCAAGAAAAAAATAAAAAAATAAAAAATTAAAATTATTTGATGCTCACGGCATGAGTTCTATGTAATTTGATGTTGGACCAATTGATATAGTCAATTTTATAGTATAAAGGAAGTTATAAAAATGGCAAGGCACGTAAATTAATTCATGTAGCAAATAAATCTGCATATATATATATATATATATATATATATATATATACAAAATTATTTTAGAGGAGTATTTTGAAAACTTTAATAACTCATAGATCAATTTATAATTAAAATTACTGGGCCAGCATAGACCAAGGGGGCATGTGCCCCACCTTAATGGGGTGTAATGATTAATGGGGACTCACTCTAGGAACATTCCTAAATAAACCTTGGTCTCACATCTTTCATATCAATATGGTACCTAATGAAACATAATCCCAACACAAAGATAGAAAACTATATCCCTGAGGAATTGATTGCTAACATCTGCTAAGGAATGTATAAATTACAATCGTATCCATAAAAAGTCATAATCTGGGGCCTATGTGGCTCTTCCTGAGCATGTTTAATAATATCTTTTTGTTGCAAAAATTTTTAAAATAAAAACATGTAAGTATAGTTGGTAATAGTGTTGTAAGTTTAAAAAAATCATTTTTAAGTTTTTTTTTTCTTTTCAAATGGGTACTTTTCATTGATACAATATCCGTTGCTACCATAAGTAAACATCAAAACACCAAATTCACAAAACATTTCAACATCAAATGCATTTTTTTCACTATTCATTGCTGCAATACCGACAAAAAAATAATAATAATAAAATAAAAAACAAAAGCTTACCAAATAGCCCTTAATAAACACAAAACTACAATTAAAAAAAAAAAAAAAGAAGAAGAAGAAGAAGAAAAGTAATAAGTTTAAAAGAATAATTGAGGTTTTTCTTTTCCACTATATAAAATCATTTTTCAAAAAGAAGGAAAAGAAACGTAACGTGTTGCTTCCAACAAAAATAAAAATAAGTAAATAACAAGTCATTGGCACATGCAAGACATAGCTAGTCGGGACTGAACTGCTTCCTTACAATCGCACCAAATATAGATTATAGACTTGAGGTTTGATATACCTACTATGATATCAACGTGTTTTATTTATGATAATATTTGAATAATTAAGTGCACAACCAAAAAAGGTCAAAAGACAACTAACCATGGCCAAGTTTAACACGGCTTTTATAGAGAAAAAAAATGACAAGAAGAAATTGGTGGATTACTTCCACCAACAGAAAAGCCCCATTTACATTTCAGGATTGCCAAATCTTCACTCAGAAGAATGTGATGTGGATGGTAGTGTAAGATTGGTTAAACAAAATGACATTACAAGAATATGAAATATATAGGGAAAATCAGTATGTCATAGACAGATTTCTAACAAGGAGAATGACATTAAAATGAGGGTTTAATGCACTTTAACAAATTGCAGGAAATTTTCAGCAAATCAAGACGGGTAAATTAGCCCTTCACACCCAAAACTAGGGTTATCAGTTGTAACCATCAAAAAGCTAAAGAACATAGTTTCATCGTCTCCGGCACAAATCAGAGACAACTCTACCTTCATCTTCAGTTGTTGATTTCTCATGGGTGCGGAGCACAAGTTCACGAAGAAGATTTCATGGTCTCATCAATAGTAGCTTAACATAAGTAAGGACTTTGTCCACATCAACTGTCCATGCAACTGAAACAGGGGAATAGCCTGACCAAGGATTATTTGCATTCCATCTGTATCATATTATTATGACCAAGTTAGAAACAAAATGCAAAAAGCTAAGATGCACATCAAAGAGTGTGATTTTTTAGACGTACTTCTTTAGTCCTTGGTCCATCAGTGTATGCCCTACACAGATACCCTGTGTCTCAACCCTCACGACCCCACTCTTGTATGTAAAGAGATCAGGCCGAATTAGTGCCAAAAAACTGACTGGGTCATGAAGGAAAATCCCTGAATTCAGCAACTTCAAAGTGTTATTTCAATTAAGTGTAATTGAAATTGATAAAAGTATCAAAACAGTGTAATTTTAAGATGTCCAACTAGTGAACAGGAGATTACCATGGAATCCATCAGACGCAACATGCCAATCTCTATAAAATTTGCACATGTTGCTTAATAATTTAGCATATCTTCCTTCAGATTGTTTCAGTTCACTAAGGTCAGCATCTGAAACCGAAAGGTAAATGTTTATTTTGTGGCAGAATACTTTTGAGACAAACATTGCCATAACTGCAAAAATGCGAACCAAAGAGAAATAAAAGGTCTTAACACCTGTCAGTTTGACTTGGGTTGTTATGTTTATGCCAACAACAACAATATTTGCCCCAGAGGTGAACACAACATCTGCCGCTTCTGGGTCCCCATAGATCTGCAAGAAAGAAAAGGCAATTGTCTTTTTTTCCAGAATAACTTGAAATAGAATTTAAATAACTGAAAACTTGAACTGGGTCCCTTACTTCGCAACTTCAACAAACATTGAATACTGCAGCAGAACACCTCTACATAACTAAAGCTTCATTTAGTGCAATGGAAGAATTTCCATGGAAATGAGAGATTATAGGACAGTCTCTAGTATGAAAAACCAAAGTTACATGTGCTTCTATTGATAGACAACAGGTGAAGTGGTGGAAACAACCCACTCAAAATTTCAACTAACTCTGTCCAGCAAGTGTTTCTCCCTTGAATTTCACAAAATTAATACAAATTACTCCGTATATTTGAAGATATTTTAAAATTACACAATTTGGAGAACTTGATATTTGGAACATCTCTAAGGAGAACGTGTACTTATTCTGGGACATTTTATAAAAGAAAGCAGCGACACTTATTATGGGATGGAGGGAGTAAGAAAAAATATTCAAGGTTAAATATTAGCATTACATAAATTATCTTATAGAATGTGGACAAAAGAATATGTCAAACTAGAGTTAGCTACCAAGCCTGAATCAGTAAAGATTAAATGACCTTAGCTAAAGGGGGTTAGTCACACAGTGGAATATGTCCCCCACCCCCAATAGATGACTTCCATGAGATATAAGGCACACGAATTCCAAAACTTTACGCACTTCAAACTATCAGTAGGTGTCAAAAGAAAAAATAAAAAATAAAATCTATCAGTAGTTCTGATGTATCTACAACGCTGCATAATTCAGTGAGGCATTTTTTGTTTCTCATTAAGGAACAGGAAAATGTAAGAATTTTCTCATTACATTAGCTTCAGCAGCAGGATTGACATTTCCCAATGCAAAAAATGCTCCACCAAGTACGACCACCCTTTTCACCTTGCTTGCAAAGGATGAGTCCCTCTTGACAGCCTGAACAAGATAAATACAATCATGCGATTGCATTGCATAGCAAAAGAGAAACTTGAAAATATGCAATTTGGGACCTTAATTCAGAAGTTGGAAAAGAAAAAAGAAGCGAAAAATGGAAGGGAATTTGCTAAAACTTACCAAAGCCAAGTTAGTTAATGGTCCCAGTGCAAGTATAGATACTTCGCCAGGATATTCAGAAACCTTCTCCACTAAAAATTCAGATGCAGTCTTCTCAATTTTCTTGGAATTTGGAGGAGGTAAAAATATGTTCCCCAATCCATCCGAACCGTGAACAAAGTCTGCAACACGTGGTATTCCTCCCTGTTCCAAGGGTATAAAGTAAGTAAAACATAAAACTAAAGCTTAAACTGAACAATTCAAAACTGATATTAGTTGGCAAGGTAGCAAATTGTTACAAAAGACAAAATGAATTTTACATATGCTTGTGCCTGTAAGGAGTTTCACGATAGTCAACAATAGAATGCCCCCCTGGGCATGGGTGAAATATTATAACATGTCATATCGCTCACCACAAATAGTTGATTGAGTTGAATAGAGTTAAAAAAAATAAAAAAAAATAAATAAAATAGCACTTGTTAGCTCAACTATGTAATGAAATAACCTACGTCAACTTCCTGAAAGTGGTTATATTAATTTTACACCAAAAATCAAAATGAATCTTATTGTTTGATATACAAACATTTGTGAACTACCAAATCAGGACATGGGTTACATTTGGAATGGTCAGGACCACTCCTTGAAAATTAGTTTCGAAATCAAAAAAGAAAAGAGAGAGAGAGAGAGAGAGAGAGAGAGAGAGAAGAGAGAGAGAGAGAGAGAAATAAACCTAAGAGAAACAATCAATTGATCAAGAAACATCCCATTGAAGAATATGTTGGGGTTCCAGTGTCTATTACCATTATTGCTTTCTCAAGTAGTTGCAAGCTGAAACTAAAACTCCACGTCATAGTGTCTAGAGTCTCATAACGATCCCAAGTAGTTAAAATAAGCTTCATCAAGTTTAACTTGAGTTGCGTGAAAAAAAGAAACTATTTAATAGCATAACTACACACCGAAAGCCAAAAGGCACCTGATCCATTTGTTGCATTTTAAAATTCTCAAACTCAAACCATTTTTCAAACTGTAAAACGAGCAGCTCATGGATAAAGCAGGGCATTCTATGAAAAAATAGTCAAATGGATTTCAAATATGGTTAGAAGCAATTTCAAAGTATTAATCAAAAGAAATAAAACAAAACAAGTTTTTTGAATAAAGTACATTTATGCAAGACATAAATTTGCTAATACTGTATATGCAAATAATGGTTGTCAGTAACCTGAAATAGAATCAGTAGATTATTTTAGTGATTCAACTATCTACTTGGTTCATATACAATATTATAGAGTAGTTACTTCCGGAGTAAATTTCTTCACCTCTCTCCTCAACTCTACTCAACAAAATACTACTACTTAGTTTGACATAAATCCGTCTTCACCAATCAGCACTCTGTAAAGCATCATAATTTCTTAAATTCATGGAAACCTTGTCCTTTGCCCTCAACCGACAACAACAACCAAGCCTTTTTCTCAACTACTTGGGGTCGGCTACATGAATCTTATGTTTCCCTTCCACTCTATTTAAGGCCATGTCCTTAGTCAAACCACATGCTATCATATCCTTTCTTACTAACTCTACTCATACAACTTTGGTCTTCCTCTTCCCATAGTATTATTCTCAATGTGGACTCCTTTTCCCTCAACCTACTTACAGAAAAATCTTTATAAGAAGACAACTCAAAAGGAAAAAATAAAAATAAGGGTGTAAATGAGCACAACATCTGACAGACAAAAAGTTTGAATCAGGGTAGAATTGTGATTGATGGTAAATAGAAATTACTCTCAGTATAGAATTGAGGCTTAGCTCAAGTACAAGTAACGTAGTATAAAGGGAGTGACGTTTGGAATTGGAGTTTCAGGAAGACAAAAGGGATTTTCGGGAAGACATATAGGTATTTTGACATTTTAAAAAGAGAAATTACTGATAAATTAAAAGCAGAGTTGAGTCCACTTGTAGGGCTCTGCAGCTTTTCTTTCACAAGGTACTAGGTAGAAGAACAGTTAACAATACAATAAAAGGGCTGAAGAACGAAATAAATGGAAGAAAATGCACGTACAACAACTAAGGTTAAATAACCTGGCCACCTGATAATGCCATTCCAGTCTAATTGCACAATCTGCACCTCAAATAGCCAAATGATTTAAAACTAACACAACAAATCAGGAATTCAAGTAAAGCCATTGATTAAGAATGTAAACCAATCAATTATCTCTTCAATAATAGATGCATGGACATCTGAATGGTCTGTAGTGGTATATCCACAAACTTGACAGCAACAGATGAATCTTTTCATTACGGAAGCCCCACAAGACCTATACCCCGGTGCACTAAATCTGAGATTATGGATAAAACTACTAAAGGAAATGCTAGTTTATTCCAACTTCAATGAAGGATCAAAAAGTTGATTAAGCATAAAATTATACATAAAAGCAGGTACCTTCAGAGGCTCAGGACTACCCTCTGCCACAGGAAGACCTGGACGTCCTGCGATCTCACACTATCCTTTTGAACATTAAGAAAAAGGTAAATGATCATGAATATGTTCCAAAAACATGAAAGACCAGAAAATATTAGGTAAATATTATCGTATAAGAAAATGTAATCAACTAAAAGAAATACACACCAGAAGCAAAGCGTTGCGAGTTGCATCTTCTGTAGAAACATTGCCAAATACTGTTGTCAAGCCTAAGATCTCCAATTGTTGACTTTGGAATGCCATTAAGATTGCCATACTATCATCTATAAATAAGCAAAAAAAACCCCATTTACATCAAACTGACACATGAGAACATTTTTGGCTTGTATGTGAATGAACATAAATTTATAATATAGACAGTGAAATATCAAACTTGCACACCTAAACTAATACTAAAAATATATATAAAAATAAAAATGAGAAAAATAAGTTATTGTGCATAAAGAATATTCACCAGAAAAAAAAAAGATCCTTTAAAAGAAATTTTCTTAATACTTTCTCTCCAGGGAAATGAAGAGAAGAGAAAAGAAAATCTAACTTTTATTTATTTGTCATTTTGCTTATGCATAAAAAATAGTAGATGAGTGAATTGGCGGCAAGGGAAACATATTATCCACGTATTTTAATGTTAGCAAGCATCTTGTAACTACTTTTCAAAAACGTTCTTTGATTTTAGCGCAGGAAAGAAAAAAAAAAAAAAATGGAAAAGAAAATGTTGACAAGACAACAGCTTAATTTCTTTTAAAACAAAGTGGGCCAAAATTAAGTAAAACAAATGCCAGATTTCTTACTTTACTCTTTATTTCTTATGGGTTCAGAAGATTCCAAATATTCTACATTCCCGGGAAAAAAGATCAGATTCAAGTTTTTCTAACTTCCCTCGAATTTCCGGACAATGTATACATTAATTTTTTGTATATAAAAAAAATTAGAATCGACTAAAATAAACCAATGACATAGGCTAAAAAAAAAAGTCTACATTAAACAGAGATATATATAAATGGAGACTTACCAATACCAGGATCGGTATCGATGATGATCTTTTCATGTATAGAAGAACAACACGATCCTTGAACATTCGACGCCATAATATTGGTCCCCCAAATCAGATTGGAAAAGTTAAAAATCGATCTAGGGTTCGGATTTCAGAGACAGCGAAATAGCAATCTAAGTGAGCTTTGCACAAACACACACACAGACACAGGTATATGTATGTGTGTGTATGTTTTGGTAGGGACGGTGAGGCTGACGATTTATTGTGCTGAAAAGTAAAATCTGGGGGGTGCTTTTTTCTACTTAATCGCAGCCCACCACCACTCACAATCTCACATTCACCCACCGTGACCGTATGTGTGTATGGATATGGATATGTATATGTGTAGATGTGTCAGCTTACTCGGTTGGTACGCAAAGACGACGAAGAATATACGAATAAATAGTGGGACAGCTGTCTTAGTCTAAGTGGATCCGGGGATCTCCGTTTCTTATTCCCTTCGTTATACTCGTCTGTCGTACTGTCGTAGTAGTAGTTGATAGCAAGATAACGTTTTATTATTATTTATTTTAGAATATGCTAGCGTGAACCTTCCCAACTCGTAGAGACGAAGCCAATGAAGGTCCAGGGAAACACGTGCCCACTTGAGATGGTTAACAACCTATAATATATGTGATAATTTTTTTAAAAAATATCATATATATGAAAAAATTTATACAGTGCCCCCTTCAAATTTTTAGTTTCTAAAATTATATTTTTATTTTTTTTTTATTTTTTCTTTTATTCTTCGCATTCCTTAAATTTCCTTAGTAGAAAAAGTCAAATTTTTCTTCCTCAATTGAAACTTTTCAACTATTTCCTTTTAAAATTCTCTCATTTTTCTTTCCTTTTATATTTTAATAATTTTTTTCTTAATTGTCTTTTGTATTATATATATATATATATATATATATATATATTCCATATTATTTTATTTTTTTTATAGCGTGCCCCCTCACTTGAAATCTTGGCTCCGTCACTCCTATGTCATCCATTGAAATTTTAGATGAGTATGTGCCTAACTTTTATCTATTTTATACTAGTATTTTATTAAAATTTATCTATTCGGCTCAGATTTTAGTAGTATAGAGACAATTGGAGCCAGATTCTTGTAGAGTTTTTCCATATAATTAAATTGGTTTTAAATACTTTTAGCAATTTTTAATGTTTGAAAAATTACTGTATTTAAAAACAAAATTAATGTATACAGAGAATACAGGCCTAGACAAACTAATAAATGCCGATGGCAGAGATGAAATGTTTCACGTTATGGCACATGGGTACGTAGTCTGAGCCAACCAACACAGCCCATGTTACTCCACATCTCTGATACCATAACTTGCCAAATAATACTACTTTTCTTTGTTACGTAAGAGTACAACACACCACACATTTCACATGCAATTATATAGTTTACTTGCTATACGCCAACTTTTGGAAATGAAAATTTGACCCGCAGCATTGAATTGAATCAGCGTCTCGACTCAAAATTGAAAAAGCTTGATTCAAATTTGAAATTGCAAAATGTCAATTCCGTCCTAAACTATTCAATATTTAGTGAACTTATTTAATTTAGAAAGTCGTTCAAATTTTTTTGTAATATAATATATAATATACTCTTGTTTTAATTTTTTTTTTTCTTGTTTTGTTTAGATGCAAAACTAAAGCGTAGTACAGAGGGCAGCAGCAGTGAGGAACTTAGTAAACTGGGCATACATAATTGTAATTAGACCTCTTAATGGAGCGGATTCTGATCCACATCCGATCAGTTGGATATGAATTGAACAAAAAATTCGATTAGTCGGATATGAATCCTGAAAGATTTTTATATTTGTATAATTACCCCTTCTAAAATTTGACACTGCACGTATATATACTATAAATATATATATATATAACCAAAAGCCCATTCACTATTTTACAAAATATTGCTTTCCCACAAAATATGATATTTTTTTTCACTTTTCCAAAATATGATATTTTTTTTCACTTTTCCAAAATATTATGTTTTTTCCCACTTTTCAAAAAAAATATATATATTTCATCAAGTTATTCTCTCACACTTTTGACTTTACCACAAACAAATGTACATTTACATTAGACAGAGACTCAGTCACTCGTACTACAGTGCGGCAAACATGTATTTTTTATCATCTAAATTTACGATTATTATTTGATACTATAATTTTAATTAAAAAAATTATTAGTTATTACTATCAAAATTATTTTTGAAATTGTTTCTCTTTCAAAATTTAGTTTGTGTAATTGTGTTATTAATTACTATTCTCTAAATTTTTTTTTACTGCCTAAATCAATGAAATCGCATATTCACTTAGTCTATCAAATTTTTCGATTGATTGGATTTTCTGATTATAACTTATAAGGAGCTATCTTCATGTCTTACTTTTTATTTTACTTTATTTTTAAAATGAATTAATTTTTATTATGAAGACATTGATAGTCTAACACAATAAAAAGAACAGTTGTGAATGTACTCAATAAAAATGTACCCAGTAAAAATATTATGAATCAATATTTTAATTTTTACTTATATTATTTTAATTCAAATTATATATATATTATTACTATTAACGATTGCCCCCACAGAAAGAAATTCCCGCTACGCCAAATGGATGATTTGCAACAAATTAAAAAAATCAGCCCACAATTGGACTTTTAAATTCTTCATTTCTTATCCAAAACATTACATTCAAACACAACAATTAACTAAACAAATTCCCAGGTAATAAGCGAATTGGACTTGTCCATATAAACCAACACCTTTTGCAGATCAAATCATTCAATTGCGGAGATAAATACACGAGATTCGAATATTCAAATACAGATTGAGCAATATTTTCTCTCTACATATATATATATTATGTAACCGTCTTTTTGGTGTCAAATATTTTTAGAGTAGCAGCCACCAAAAACAAAAAAACAAAAATAAGCATTGGGATCTACTAGGAACCTCATTTGCATAGGCATGCAATGACCCTTGTATCCAGAGACGGACCTAGGATATTATGTTGGGGAGGTATATCGTATATCCCTGATTGTATCACAACAGCTCAAAAGGTTGTTGTAGCCGGAGATATACTTTCAAGAACCCAATGCTGCCACCACTCAAAAGGAATTGTAAACGCCCCAAGTTAAGAAGCTCAGAGTCAAGCAACGTTTGGGTTCTAGCATTTCCGATATCATTTCCCATTGGTAGCATCAAAATCTAAGGATAGCATACAGAAGTTGCTAATCAACTTTGTTTCCTTGTTAACCTCCCCAAATATATATAATAAAAAAAGGAAAAATGTTCAGGTCGACCATGGGAGCCATGAAAAATGGAACTTGCAGTTCTAGTTCCATTCTACCATGATAGCTGCTTCTTTGAAAATTTAACCTACAAAAATCGCCAGAACCAAGAAGAGCCATAAGATAAAGCAAGCATTACTACTTACCAGCCCCAGTTTCTATGATATTTGGTTGTGTAATATACATACAATGCATGCACGTAACAAGGAACAACCACTGGTGCTGGATTCCTGGCAACAGCAACTACAATATGCCACAATGGCACAATCCCCACCGACATATAAAACAATAAAAGTATCTCACAGTCCAAAATCACAGGATCAAGCGGGAGCTAAAATTTTGCTTGGGACTCTTTCAGAACTGTACTACATGCATGTGAAGCAACACCAACAGTAAACAAATTTCTACACATTTCAGCAAATTATAGAACCATAATGCCAGGCACAATTGAAAACTAAGATGCTAACATCTACAAGGTTCCAATGCCTTAATTCTTTCATTTTTGGCTAATCCAAATACCACCCCTCTTCTATCCACATAACAAAACAGAAAATCCGCCAGGGATGAAAGCACCATTTGCATGCCACGGTCCAAAAAGTTACTTTCCTACAAGCAATTTAAGACTCAAACCACTGTTTGCATATATAAGCAATACACATGAGTACGTGCAAAGTCACACACACACACACATGTATATAATATGTATACTTCCATTCTGCGTGTATGAAGATATCCAAACATACCTTTGATGAATAAGCGTCATACCTCCAGCACTTGAAATAAACAGCTCATGCAGCTTCACCTATCTTGGGGTTTGGGGAACTGATAACATTCATGGGTGCCTTTCCCAGATGACCCTTGGCATTTCCAGCAGCTTGCCCACTGGAGCTCTTAGTACTTGCTGTCTCAGCACCCACCATTGACTTTTTTACCTGCCAAAAAGGTTTCAAGTAAAAACGGACGGACATTCTGGAGAAATTCATGGACTAACCTTTTTGAAATTAAAATACCATGACCTATTGATGCAATGATATTATTATTCATTATGTACTTCACCGTGAACCAACGCTTTTTGTGTGTGTAATATAGTGGACATATAGCCAAAACGTACCACTGCAAGTCGCTCTTTGTGAATGTCGCTTGCAAACTGCCAAACCATCATTAAAAAAATCACAGAAAGGTAATCAATTCAGATAAGTAGTTTCTGATAAATGAAAGTGACCTGCAATTGCCATCACTAAATTATGTTACTATGCTATATACCTACACGTCATAAAAATAATGCGAGTCAGTGAAAATTCATTACCGGTTTTCTGTAGCTCTTAATTTCATCTCCCCTAAACCCAGGAAGAGTCATGTTCCAGTTTCTTTCTGAAATAAAGGATACACTGAAAAATTAAGCACTGAATATCCACATAAGGCATATTGGCAAACAGCCAAAACAACTAACCAAGATGTAGAAGTATGTCCTTTGCTTCCAATGTAGTTGATTTTCGATGCTTGGCTAACGAGCAACCAAATGTTGTAATCTACTCAAGAACAAGAAAGAAAGGGAGAACTAAATTAATCACTAAAGAATAAAAGAGAAAAGTAAACCATGAGTAGTATAGCTAGAATAATACAGACATGAGAATGCTGATGAGAAAAATCTCCACAAGCACACAATATATCCTCATTACAATTACTTGGGGTATAACAAGCACACAATATATCCTCATTACGATTACTTGGGGTCGATTATACAAGTCTATTTCGCCAAGGGAGATCAAACTGCTTAAGCTAGACAACATGGGGCATGAGGGCATCAATGTCATTTTCAATAATATTAAATAAAAAAATTTAAACAGCATAAAGACTAGAAATTTGTAATTTTCCGATTTAGAATGCCTCTTGTGGTTTCAGGCAAGATCTTTTTTGAATGTCCATCTGCTTAGTAAGTCGACCCATTTATTCAACAAAGAGAAAATGTTTTTAACTCCTTTTATTCCTTTGTTTCATTTTCACTGGGAAAACGACAAGGAGTTGCTTCTAATGTGAACAGATGCCCTTAGCCTCCCTTTTCTAACATATTTGGGAAAGAAATCCATTAGTATATATCAAATTCAAGGATGTGCGAAAAAAGAAAAAAAATTGATCCCAAATAGAAGTGAAATAAACAGGGCAACAACCCCAGGTCAAAAAGGAAGGGGGGTGGGGTGGGGGGGAGGTGAAGAAGAAAGAAAAAGAAGATGAAGAATAACAAGACTTCAATTAGGTGGATCTGTCAAGTTAGTAGCTTTGCCAAAGAAGGTCAATAAAGAAGCAATAACATAGTGGAAAGTTCATCATCTTATTTTGTGGTGTATGAGGGAAAGCAGGCACACAAGGTCATGAAATCCAATTAACATACAGTTAAAAGGGAGAAAAAAAAAATCTCTAGAAACAACATCTTTCTATATATATAAAGCTACATGGAAGCAGATATATCATTTTGCTTCAGTAAACTGGCAAAAACAAAATATTGGTTTTATAATTGTAATCCCCTAATGAACATAAACAAATTAGATGGAAAGAAGTATACAGTATGGAAGAATAAAAAGATGCCACTAAAATATCATGCATTGTACCAGAAGTTGAATCAAAGGGAACTTCACTATCTTTCTTGTCAATTGAGAAAACACATATCGTAACAAACAAATTGATGCAAAATAGTAAAGAATCAAGTATAGTCAGTCAATGGTTGGCAAACTAAGAAGCATGTATGCAATGCAGGGTACGAGCAGGGAATCACCAAAACAACACCACTTGAGAAATAGGAAATGCGCATGATGAGGACACATTAGCAAAATATATATTCTTAATATATATAAGAGGCATGTAAGCAATGGTTGGTAATCTAAGAAGCATGTACGCAATGCGAACAAGTAGGGAATCACCAAAACAACAACACTTGAGAAATAGGAAATGAGCATGACGAGGACACATTAGCAAAATATATATTCTTAATATATAAAAGAGGGTAAAATGCAAAAAAGAAAAGAAGAAAATAAAACTTGTTCTATCCTGCATTTGCAAATAACACCCTGAGCTTCAAAAATAACCCCAAAACTATAATAGATTTGCAAATAAGACCTTTCCATTATTAAACCATTAACTGAGTGATACTTATACAAATAAATAAATAAATATATAAAAACATTAACTGCGTGACAATTTTACATAACTGCCCTTCCAAAATGAAATGAATACAATAAGTTAGAAAATTTCAAATAAACTTTTTTTTTATAAGTTGAGTTAAATCCCTAACATGTACTGTTGATATAACCAAACTCATTTCCCCTTCCTCAAGAACCAAAAATTGATCCATCCATATATTTTTTCTAGCGCTGTAAATGAACCAAGCGTTCCACAAACAGCTCGAGCTTGGCCGGATAATAGCTCGGTTCATGTTTGTTTACTTAGTAAACAAACCACGCTCAAACAAATTTTGCAAGCTCGTTTCATAAACAAACCAATCTCAAACAGACCCCTGCTCGGTTAGTTTGTTCGTGAACAGATCGTGAACAAGGTTCGTTTATGTGTTCGTGAACATATGTGCTATATGTATAAATTCACAGATTAATTAATAAGTAAAAATCTATTTAGTTTATACATGATATTCATTTATATATAAAGCCCAAAAAAATACAATGAACTAATTAAGTTTACATGAGATCCACTTAATATAAGGCCCAAAAATATAATGAACTCAAACAAATTAAGAATTTTAGACAACCCAAATTCAAGCCCAAGCTGTGAAGCCCATCTATACAAACACATTAACCTGTCATTTCATATCAATTCTCAACCCTAAAAGCATCTTTAGAGGCTGCGTCTTTCTATCAAGAAAAAAAACACTGCCCGCTCTTCTCTCCATCTCACAACCGTAGCTGGACAAACCACCCCTTCTCAAGCACACGACCACAGCAACGTCAAGAGCCCCAATCAATTGACGATCATAGCAGAGGCAAAAGCCCCAATCAATTGACGATCACAGCAGCCCATATTCTCTCTCATTTCTTGTTATCTACCTCATCTGATTTTATTTATTTACTTTTTTAAATCTCACTCATCTGGTCTGTTCTCTTGATATTGGCTTGAATGAAGTCTAAGAACGATGGGTATGATACACTTGGATTCATATAATATATATGCAATTTTTTTTTTTTTTAATTGAATGAATTTTTTTTTTGCCATAACGAGTTGTCAAGCCGACGAGCCAAGCTCGAGCTCGTTCGAGTATGGCTGAGCCGAGCTCGGTCAGAGTCAGCCAAGGCTCAATCAAGCTCAAGCAATCCTTTGGCTGTGACGAGCCAAGCCCGAACACTCTGAAGCTCGGCTCGGCTCGGCTCGGCTCGTTTATAGCCCTAATTTTTTCTAAGGAGTAATTTGGTTCACAAAAAAAGAACGTGTTGGTCATTATATAACAAAAATATGTGAAGTGAGGTGAGCATGATTCTTTTCTATCTGTTTTCTAACAGAAAAAGAAAAATAAAAAGAGAAATTTATAGGGATATATAAGATATAGGAGGTTATTTGCAAAATTAATAATTCAAAAGGGTTATTTGCAAACTTGAGAAAATTAAAGAGGGTTTTTTACATTTTCCCCTAGTATACTATCTACAACAAACATAATTTTAACTATATTTAAAATTCTTAAGATTCTATCTTATAAATCATATAATCATAGACACCCTAAAATACCCACACAAAAAAAAATCATGACAATGATGCAACATGTGTGTGAGAGCGCTTTACTTATCAAAAAGAAAAAAAAAAAAAAAAACATGCGCGCGTGTGCGCGTGTACTAGATGTGTATAAGATACACACAATTCAAAGATGCTTTTGCCATCTCCTATCCTCCGGCACATTCCTTTAATGAATTCTTGATGTATCCTTTGTTTTTTCAATATGGCCAGACTTTTTATAAATTTTATATAAATCTTTATTTTGATTTTTCTAACAATCGTTCTCTTTTTCTATATTAAATAAAACCTTATATAACATAGAAGATTCTTTAATCAAGTGTTGTGAAGTATGCGGAAAGTGTTCTTCATATGTCCGAAATTAAAATTTTAGTTTTAAATTAGGTTTAATTGCATAAAACTCCCCCCTGAAGTATAAAAATTTGCATATCCCCAGTGTACTAAATTTCTATCAGATGACAACCAGAATAACAAAATTTTGCAAGAAACCCGATTCCCTCAAGTTACTGTTAAAGAGTAAATGGTCAAAACATTGGAGCTTTCCAAAAATCACAAATTACACTTTAGAATTAATTACATAAAACCCTCCTTGACATAAAAAAAATGGCATGTTAACCCAGGGACTGAGTGATAATATAATAAAATTTCTAATTTAGGGGGGTTTTATGCAATTAACCTTGAGAACAATTTACTGGACACATTTAACGGCCACCTAATAGGTTGTTGGTTACCCTTTAAATTATAAATACAAAGAAAGAAAGAAAGAAAAAAAGATGACAAGGGTTGGACATAATCATCATTGTTATTTAGATATGATTTTCAAATTGAAAATATGTTCAACAAATGATATTATAGATTCTTATAATGTTAAACATTAAACAAATTGTTAAAAAGCTAATGCGAAGGTTCGGTTGGTCCCAGGCCCAAGCTGAAATATATGCTAAAACAAGCTATATTCTAAAGGTACTTTGTACACAAGAGACATAAAAATTACCAATCAACATAACAACCAGGAAAAAACTTCTATGCTAAAAATAGATGGTTAGGTACGAGGATAAGAAAAAAAAATGTAAATTAATGGACTTACAGACTCAACGAATTCATCAGCAATATCCACAAGAATGTCTTCTACTTCAGGATCCAGTCTCTCTGATGGATCAATCTGTCCATCATAGAAGTTAGAATGAAAAAAAGAGGGAAAATATTCATGCCGAAGAAAGATGTACAAGTCAAAGGATGTAGGCAATTGCAAGGTAATGGCCCTTCTAAGCAAGGTGTCAAGTGTGAACCATGATAAACATATATGTCCTACAGTATGCTTTAAAATTAAAGTCCATAAAAGTTTGAACTCAAGTAAAATTGACAGGATAATTAAACACATATCTGTCGCTTGTTTCTTATAGATGCCTCCTCCAATATTTAATTTTTGGGTAAATTACACTCACACCACCCTGAGGTTTGCCCAATTACACTCAAGACTCCAAAAATGCAACAGAAAATGATCTAAACAATCATTACAGACCAGTAAATTTTCAAATAAGTCCTAAAAGAACAGATAATAGGGAAAAGATTATAAAAAGAGGAGCAATATGTTCACCTGGGATACTAGTTCTTGAATGCTTCTCTTGCTTAGAATCCTATTATAAGATTCACTAGTCTCTGCACTGGCAGTTTTATCAGGGGGGGCTGATTGGACTGTGCTGAGTTGTACCATTGCATGAGAGGAAGGTTTCTGGTTTCCCCTTGTAATCTGTTGTTGATGTGGTATAGATTGTGGAACCCTTGATGTTGAAAATTGTTGCCCGTAATGCTCTTGTGGCGGTTGTGAGGGTAAAGTGTGTTGCGATTGTTGTGCAGATGACATTTGCTGCTGTGACGCAGTTGACAATGGATGATGATGTTGTTGAGGGATGTGGGATCTTTGCTGCAAAGATTGTTGGTTCATTTGTGGTCTAAATGATGGTGATGGCAATGGAGGCTTCCCTTGTGATCCAGATGACAACCACGGCTGATTATGAGGCTGCACACTCTGTGGCATGCTTGGTGATGGTGAACCAGGAGATCCCACTGACGGAACTCTTAACAAGCCATGCCCTTGGAAATTCTGCATATAAGGAAGAAAAAGAACAAGAAAAGAAAGATTAAAAACTTACTTATCCACCTGAAAAAAAAAAAAAAAAGGAAAAATTATTATGGCAAAACTGCAGGATGACTGCTGTAGAATATAAAACTGCAGGATGAGTGCTTCCAAGTAAAAGGAAAGCATGACTCCCACCATTTTCTTTTAAAAAGCGAATAATCCACTAATGCCCCCCAAAAACTGGGGTCAATCCCATCTCGAGCCGCCATAGAGAAAACAAATATAAACCTCAGATCAAGCAAATCATAGAAGCTCCAAAAAGTACTCTGTAAACAAAGGATATGACATAACACTCAAAATATAAAACTTCAGAAGACCGTACTTCAATCTCAGCACCTTCAAAAGTTCTCTTGTAGCTTTCCTTCTAGAAAAAACCACATAAGACACAAACTTATCAAAAAAAAAAAAAAAAAAACCACGTAAGACACAAGGGAGTCATGTCCCAAACCTTCCTCACCTACCTCTGAATGCATCTAGCTCCCCAACTACTCAACATATCCAATACTAAAACCTAACATCACCACCTTACACCAAAAGGATAAAAAAAATTAATTTGCTAGCCACACTAAAATGTGTAGAATGATGATTGATAGTCACCCGATCCCTCTTATAACTGCAGCACCAATTGGGCATATAGTATCCTCTGCCTTCAAATTATCAATTATGATCACCACCTCCAGAATAGCTGCCCGAGAGAGAGACAGAGAGAGAGACGATCAAGAGTGCCTTTGTTCTCCAAATCCTTTCCCAGGGAAACTCCAATCTATACCACCTTAAAACTTGAAAGGACTTAACAGAAGGATTTGACGCCGAAAATTTTGTTACCGGTTGCCTTCCATCTAATTGAATTCTCTGCTCCTTCATGAAAAGGTATCTCTTGGAGTAACTCACCAGCTGAGCCTAACACTAGTATTGGAAATGCTATTCTAAAACACTGCATCACCTGAGGAGGAGGCAAACATCGCTTCCACAGCCCCTTCATAGTGGTCGCAAACAGTGTTGTTAAAGGCGCGCCTAGGCTTAAGGCACTGGTCTAGAGCCTGTTGTCATCCTTGGCTCATTGCTATTTACTAGGCGCGCACCTCAGTTGCGCCTTGTCCCTGTTTGTCAGGCGCGCCTCACTGATTATTTTCTAAGAAGGCGCACCTGACAAACAGGGACAAGGCGCAATTTTCAACTTTTAGAATATTGATATGACTTATGAGATATGAATGTTTTTATGGTAGTTTAAATTTTCAATTGTGCGCCTCACTTGACTTAGGCGCGCACCTCGCGCCTAGGCTCCAGAGGACCTCCAGCGCCTTGGGCCTTTAATAACATTGGTCGCAAACAATTTTGAGACATCTCCCAACACCAATAATACCAAAACCTAATTTTAGATCCATTACTCACCACGAGGCCCAGATACCTAGAGAACTCTCCTCCTACCCTTTCATGGTACTCTACCATAAACTTACATAGTGAACCATCCCCACCTCTAGAGATGTCTACCCCTTACAAGCACAATGCTTCTTCTCCACCCTCAACACCAAGCTTTCTTTATCCAATGCAAACCTCCATGTCCATTTGCCTAAATGACTGGGAAAAAAATTCTGAGCTTTTCATTGTCCCCCTTCCTTCACTAGGGAGCACACCTTGCAGCCCTTGTTCCCACTATATAGTACCTGAACTCCTCCAGCTGTCCCTATAAGAAGACCTATGGAAGCTTTTAATTTACTCTCTTCTACACCAGTGTTGGGATGTAAAGAGAAACACAAAATAGGTTAAAAGCATCAGCAATGTGCTTTTGATGAGAGTTAGCCTCGCAGCCTCGCCCCTTTACACAAGTACTGCCTTATGGACCAGCTAACCTCTTCTGAAATACAACATCCCAAACTGCCATGGCCTTAAAAATTGAATCCAACCTATGGAAGCTTTTAATTTACTCTCTTCTACACCAGTGTTGGGATGTAAAGAGAAACACAAAATAGGTTAGAAGCATCAGCAATGTGCTTTTGATGAGAGTTAGCCTCGCGGCCTTGCCCCTTTACACAAGTACTGCCTTATGGACCAGCTAACCTCTTCTTAAATACAACATCCCAAACTGCCATGGCCTTAAAAATTGAATCCAATGGGAGCCCCAAACGAAGAAAACCCATCTTACACCCTAAATTGTTTTGCTAAAGCCCCAACCTCATCCATACCTATAATGAAAATAACCTCTCTTTCTCAAGTTCACATTCAACCAAAAAACATGAGAAACACGCATTTCCAAAAAGGTGTAATATACATGCCAAACACTGACACTTCTCAGATGCTCCTACACGTCCGTAATTCGAAAATAAAATCTTAAATCTAGATACTTGCCTTAAACTTCTTAGTAATGTGCTAACTACACTAATGAATCTTAAACCTCGAATAAGACTTTGCCAAAGACAGCTTCACATGCATCATTTTCTCCCCCTCAGAAAATGAAAGTGTCATTTATGTTACATTGACTCTTCAAAAGTAGTGAAGTACTCGAGTCGGACTCATATTGCTTAGACATGGGATGGAATATGTGTCCGACATTTTTGATGAACATGTACTTAAAAAGCATATACTCGCTATCTTAAATCTAGATACTTGCCTGAAACTTCTTAGCAATGTGCTAACTACACTACTGAATCTTAAACCTTGAATAAGACTTTGCCAAAGACAGCTTCACATGCATCATTTTCTCCCCCTCAGAAAATGAAAGTGTCATCTATGTTACATTGACTCTTCAAAAGTAGTGAAGTACTCGAGTCGGACACATATTGCTCAGACATGGGATTGGATATGTGTCCGACATTTTTGATAAACGTGTACTTAAAAAGCATATCCAATCATTCAATTTTATTATATTACTAATTTAAAATGAGTTAAATGTCTATATTGAAAACTATGCTACATAAAAACATTATTTTACGCTAGAAAATAAATAAATGAATATTTAGCAGTATCCTTCTAAGTGGAGATTTGACACGCTCAATACATGGATACATACCTGTACCTAGGGATGGCAAATTCCCCATCCCCGCCGGGTCCCAAGCCCACCCCGACCCGTTTATAGCCGGGATGGAAACCCTTTTATGTAAACGGGGATGGGGGTAAATTTTGAAAACCCGCTGAGGGCGAGGGCGGGGATGGGGTAAACCCGCCCCGCCCCGATTAAGTGTGAAATTAGTAATATACCCTTATATATAATAATTTATTACTAAATTAGATTTAGTATATATATGAAAATAAGAAAAATTATGTTTTTTTTTTAAATATATATATATATATATATATATATATATATATATTAATCGGGGACAGGGTGGGACAGGGTGGGACCGGGGATAAGGGGGCGGGGGCGGGGGCGGGGGTGATGGTGAAATTTTAAGTGGGGATGGGGGCAGGGATGGGGATTGAAAAATTCAGCGGGATGAGGATGGGGAATGAGATCCCCGCCCTGCCCCATTGCCATTCTTACCCATACCCGACACACGTACCTGAGTCCATGTAACATAGGTGTCATTTACAAAGAACTAATTAGAAACAACTATTGTATCCTCCCCTGATCACCAATAAAGTAGCCTTGAGCCCCTCCACTGCCAACTCAGAAACTTTCTCAATGCCACATAAAAGGTAGAAACTAAACTAACATATAAGCCAAATATATCCTGCTCACCCACATATCAAATATATATATATATATATATATATATATATATATATACTGATCAAGACAGTTCCAATGAACAGTCACCCAATTTTGAAAATGTGAAGTCTGATAGGCTGGGATGATACTGGGTAAACCTGACCTCATCAACGATATCGAGGGTAGCCAGCCAGAGGGAGATAGGATTGAACCTAGGGCAACCATTTTGCGGCAGAAAGAGATTCATACTCTTTGTGCACTTACTTAGATTTTGGCAGTTTGACACTTTCCTCAACTTTGGCCCCCTTTTTGGACAGGCAAAGGTATATTAAACCCAATTACATGTTGATCGACGTTCAACAAGCTACATGATTGCTAAACAATTAACGCTCACTCCAATCGAAGCAGCTCACTCCAATCGAAGCAACTTCGTCCAAAAAAAAAAGTTATGCAAAGCTCAGCAGTATTTAAATTCTAGTATAGCATCATTTTCTGATTGCTAGAACTTATGCACAAGCTAAAACTTATCAGAACCAAAAATGCAGCTGATTACAAACAGCCAAAATATTATTTAATTTTTTTAAATATTGTGCCCATATTTTCAATAACCACTATAATTGCCTTCAAAAATCTAGAAAATAAGTATTAACTTGGCAGGGTTTTCCCCATGCCAATTTACTTTTTCTTGTTCAGAAGTTTTTGACCTACTCTAAATACTTAGTCATCAAATTAATAAACCCATCACCACCATTACAATAATAAAGTAATAAAGAGATCTAGCGTATAATGCAAAGACATGAAAAAGTTAAATCTCGTAACTGATTACTGACTTGGGTAGCAGGAGATTGATTGTTTGGGGTAGTTTGTGGTCTAAGGGATGACTGAACAGGTCTCTGTTGATGATGTGCAGCAATCCCACCTGGCCGGATTTGAGAACCAGATCCAAATGACCCTACCGTTGCCATACCCTGTATGCCTTGCAAAGGTTGTCTTGCCTAAGCATTTCAAACAAAAATTAAACAACAACAAACAAAGAAACAAACACATATTTAATGAATCAAACTCAATCGACACATGCATAACAAATTTGTTACCAAAGAAACTTAACTTGGGCGCAGTTAATTACAGCATGTATTAAATACATTTAAACATCAATTCAAACTAATCAAGAAAACTCTACACACATACATAAATAAATTAGTCCAAAAAACAAAAAGAAAATCCACCTGTGATGAACTCGAACCCGTGAAAGATTCAGCCACATTGACTGCATTGCGACCCAAATTACCAAATTGCTGCCCAAAAGAAGGCGGGTTCAGAGAGGAAAATGACGTCGGTGGAGTCGGAGGGCTCGGGTGGTGCGCGGGAACCCCAATGGCCATTCCGCCCCTTTGCGACGGCGACGCCGATATAGAGGATGAAACGGGTGCCGAAAAGGGAGGCACAGGCGGAAGTGAAGGCGAAGACGAAGAGAAGTGAGAGAAGTGCGAGGGCTGTTGCCACGGTCTGTTGAAGGGGGTCGTTGCTTGAGGGTTTTGGACAGTGGATTGTTGTTGTGGGGTTTGGGGTTTTTGGTTGGAATTAGGGTTTGGAGAAGATGGGGTGGTTGATGAAGCTGAAGGGAGGGAAGAGGAGGGAGGCGGAAGAGATGGTGACGGTGTCGACGACGATGAGGGTGGTGGTTGCGACGGTGGTGGTTGCTCGGTTGGCTGTGGAGTGGATGGTGTAGGTGTTGTTTCTTCCATTTAATGTGTGTAGATAGAGAGTGTGGTTTGGGGGGAAAAGTTCAATGGGTGTTGAGCAATTGCTGTGTGATATATATACCGTATATCCAGGAAGATAGGAATACGCAATGGGTTTTATTCTTGACACCCTTTAAAGTTTCGGCCAACGCCGACGCTGATTAATAACTTTGTTTACATCAACAGCATGTGGTTTTAAAATCATACATCCACACCACTATTAATATAGAAAAATACTTAAATACTCTTTGATTAGTCAACAATTATTTTTAAATCATGAATTTACCTTAATGCCCTTTATAACTTATATACAAGTATATATTATATATGTGTCTAGATATATATATATATACATGTACTGGCATGGTGGTTGGCGGTGATGAATCTGGTTCGTGGTGGCTCTCTCTCTCCCCAAATTGAACAAGTTAGTTGGATTATGCATAATCAAATACATGTACAAATGGTGATGGTAGAAGTGGTGGCCAGTGGCAGTGTGTGTATGTATATATATATATATGTATGTATATGGGGTTTCAAAGTGGGGTATAGGAATTGGGTTCGATTTGGGGTTTCTCGTGGCGGGTGGTAGCAGCGGACTGAATCTTGGCCTCGCGAGGTGGCGGAGCAGTAGCTCAACGGCGGCGATGCTTATTGCTGGGGTTGTTTCCCCTTATGGTTGCGAGAAGGAGCCTTCACTCTTGACGAGAAGGAATTGGCTTGCCTATCATTCCTTTTTTCGTCTGTAATTTCATTGAGAAAAAATCTTTCTATTGAATTGTTGTGTGTCGTCATTTTCACAGCATCTCTCACAAATGCCTCTATGTCTGGATGATTTGGAACCGACAAGGCTCGTTGAGATCTCGAAAGACTATCAGTAAGGGAGTTCCCACCAAGAAAGCAAATTTAGTCGATCCAATTGGAGAGAATAGAAGCAGCAATTGGGAACTAGAGGGGATGGTGAAGGCATCTTAGACATGATTCCACAAAAGTAGCCAAACAAAAGGAGATCAGGGGTTATTTTTGTCATTTAACATGCTTGATTTTTTTATATATATGTATAAAATTGAATTAAAAATTTAAAGGTATTTATGACCTTTAAAATTTCAAAGTGTTACTGTAAACAAAATTATTAACTGCTGGGTGATATTGATCGAAATCTCAAGAAATATCAGTGCAATTACCCTAAAAAGTAAAAAAAGGCCAACAACCAAATAGAGCCTCTCAAAATGATTTAGGCTCCTGACAAAATTACACGTTCCTTTGGTTTGACGAATAAGGCAGCTTTGGCACTGGGGGTCAATGACTAATAGGTTTTGTCCATCCCTCTTCTTCTTTTTCAATGACACTTCATGAGGCGAGGGTAAACATTTATAAGTTTGTATATTTTTGGACACTGACGTCTTTTTAAGTTTGAAAAAGTTGACAAAGAGATCTTGAAAGAGACTTGATAATAATGAATTGATTTTATTATCTTTTGATACACACACATCACCTCCTCATATGCGCACATCACTACCCCCAGTTTCGACCCAATTTAGACCGGCAAATTCAACGATCGTCAACCGAAGAGACCATCAGTTCATGTGAGCCTCTATCATCGTCGGGCAAACAGGCGAAATTTGAAAGACCCAAATCGATGTACTGTTCCGGCAAATTATGAGCTTATACCGGAGGGACTCGGAGGGAACGACGAGGAGATCCTGTTTTTGTGATCGATGGGAAATGGCTCTAATTGAACGGCGGAGGCAATGACATCTTGAATAGAGAATCGGGTGAGATGGATCTCGTGGTTAGAGTACTCGGCGACAAAAGGGCTATTATTGAACTCAAATCGGACGGCAGAGGCGACGACCACTTCAGCCTCCTCAGCCTTGCAGGTGACGCTCACCGGACCGTGTTCATCTGAACCTTGTCTTCATCGGAGCTTGATCCTTGCTGAACCGTCTCTGCTCGTTGGTCCCTTGTTGCTCGGTTTCGAAATCTCGCCTCACTATTCAGTCCGTGCCCGCATCGTCATCGGAGCTTAGTCATCGCCAGCAATTTCAGTCTCAGAGTTTGTGGCTGCCGTTTTGTTTTGACCGTCCTTACTCGCTGGTTCACCGCCGTTCAAATCCTTACTCTCCACGCGGGGAGGCTTGATGGTGTCACAGGTAAAAAGATTCATGCCAATTTGGATTTTGTGATGATATTTTTATACACAACTCAATGATAAGTTTGTATTTACGGTTGGGTGACGGCGTTGGGTAGGTGGTCGTCGAAAATTGCAAGGGTATCCAATTGAGCACCTAATCAAAAGACCCCATTTTCATATTGTTTGGATTTTGAGTAGTTGGGTTTTGTTGTGCAAAAATTTATGGGTATATGTGGGTAATTTGAACACCTTTATTTTGTATGTGTGTGTGTATATGTGTGGCTTCGTGTGGTGGTGGTGGAGGGGAAGATGGGAGATGGCGGTGGCAGTGGCGGTGGTAGAGCTCAACGTCTTCTTCGGTGGGTGGTAGTTGTGGAGGTTGAGGTGGTTGTATATATATCACATAGAGAATGGGAAAGGGGAAAGGTAATTTGGTCATTTAATTATTTTAATATTTTATAATTATAATTAATAAAATAGTGAAGGTAGACTTTTTATTTGTTTTAAGATTACTTTTGAATTGCAAATTTCACAAGGTGTTATTGTCAAAAAAATAATAATAATAATAATAAATAAATAAGACAACTGTATATGTTTCTCATTATCCCAAACTAAGTGGTGTATTGTACTTCACCGTTTTTTTTATCTTTTTCTTTTTTCAATAATGATGGTGTGGGGACACATTTGCAGATACCCACCTCACATGCATTGGGCATTTACCAAAATTTTTCTTTAAACCGGGCATTCGAACTCCCAAATCTCAAGATATGTTGCTATGCGATCAATTTCTTGTACATTCAGGGCAGAGCCAGACATTTTCAGGGGCGCAGTAGTAATATAAAAACAATTGAACCGTCGAGCTTTTAGCTGGTTTATCAACAAGATATGTTAGGGTCTAACAGAGACTTTTGCTCATGATTTTATTTTGAACACATATAAATTGATCAGAGGTTTGACAATAAAATTAGATGACATGATTATCTCTTATAGTAATTTTAAAAAGTGCTAGTGTGTTTTGGAAGACAATTGAATCATCTTATTTTTAAGAATAAATAAAAAGAATACAAGAATAATTTCGCAAAGTGCAGATATCAATTCTCAACTTACTAATAACCTACACATAGTTTCTACAAGGTTGGCATAATTATATAGCCATCGGATTCAAAATTTGAATTTACTTCTTTTTCTTTTAACGGTAAAAATGGTGTTATAATCTAATTAGTAAGATACAAAAGCAATAGAAACATAGAAAATAAATATTCCTGAATAAGCTTCTATGAGAAACTGATAAAGTTAGTAAAATTCGAAGAAACAATGGAAATATTGAACATCTTCTAGTAAAAATTGAATCAAATTTTCTAAGTAGAAAGAAAAGAATAGAAACATTAAACAGTACTCCATGAAGTAGAAAGAATAGATCAAACATTAGTTAAAATGAAAAGTGAAAACAAATATTCCTCAGGATGCTCTAATAGCAATCGGACTGCTAACTCTATGAACGTCGTTAAACCATGTGAGGGTTCCGAAAACAAATTTCTTCAAAGGTTTATTGACCCAAACATTCACCTTGAAAATGGCTTTGGTTTGACCCCGCGAAAAGTCAAGCGTTTTTGGTTGTACTTCAAGGCTAATACCTTCAGGATGTTGAACTGAAACATTAAAAATCTTGGGATCACCCTTTTTCCCTCGGTAAGTCACTGTTCGGAGTACCGACGTCTCACCGGATAAATTATCAATCCCAATGGAAGGATAATTGAAATTGCTCACATTAACTGGTGAGTTGGGACATATAATTCTCTTGCCCACAAGATTCTGCAATTGCGTTGCATCTGAACCGTGGTTACATAAAAATAGAATAACATCGTCCACATTGAAGTCATACACAAGTCCAGGATTAAGTGCAGCATTCGGATCTAAATGTCCCGACCCAAGGTCAAAAGGTGTTGCAAAATTAGAGCCTGATCGTATGCGTTGTCCAGTGTTATCAAATTGTGAAGCTGTACCAAGGAGGTGAGAGATATTAATAAAATAACTAGTTCATTAAAAAAGTTTAAAAAAAAAAAAACATGAAACCCAATCATTGTGTTTTGCTTAATAAATTGTTCACAAAATATTGGAGCAATATTTATATACAAAAGTTTGTTTATGCTTTGGTTCCAATTTCCATACAGTGGATCTATGTTATGTATAAATTTTGGAGTTAAAAGTGAGGATTGACATAATTATAATGTCATTAATTAATCTTTTATAAAAATAAAATTAATCTTTTTTTTTTTAAATTCTTATAAAAAAGAACTGTGTTTTAAGAAAATTATAAAAGACAGTTATTTGAAAATAGTTTTATTAGTGACAATCCAAGCAGACCTAACCTGTTGTCATCAATGCAGATTGTATTTCTGCTGGGCTCCAATGAGGGTGCAAGGCCTTTAGTATCGCGGCGACGCCAGAGACATGAGGGCATGCCATTGAAGTGCCAGAATAAATTATGTACGTGGGAGCATCTATGTTAGCTCCAGATGGTGGAGGCCAAGCTGCTAAAATGTTTACCCCTGGAGCTGTTATGTCCGGCTGCAACCCATAATCGATCATTCAAAATCTCTCGATAAATTCTTTCTGTATGGATTTTAATTTGTAATAACTCTCTCTATAAAAGAACATGAAAATTCCAAGGGAAAAAAAACTCTACTTTGATGAGGTCAGGTGTGATATTGCTAGGTCCCTTAGAAGAAAATGTTGCCATTTCTGGTGCAGGATTCGAGTAAAGTAGCGCTATTGACTGTGATATGGTTGCAAATGGCTTCCTATAAAATGTTAGAGGACTAATCGAGAAATTCCAAAGTAGAAAATGAGAAATTAGAAAGAAATAGTAAAAAAAAAAAAACTTACGTAGTGCCTAGGTATGCTTGGAGTTCTTGTAAATCGTCTTGATCGACAATCACAGAGGTAGGAACAACATAGACATTTGAACTCCGGTCATTGCTCGGATCAATAAGTATCATCCCAACACCACCTGCTTCACTTACCACGTTTGATTTCTCAACTCTATCATCATTCCAGTTCTCTAAGGTGCAAACCACAATCTTTCCTCGAATAAATGCTTCATTTAGTGCATTTCTTTTGCAAGCACTGGGAAAATAATACTTCACACTTCAATTCAAAATTCAAAAGCATATATATGTGTGTATAATGTAGCATGTATATATATATATATGAAACACATCTGGATCACCTTGCTGTTTGTACTGAGACACCATAATTTGGAGCAGAACTTGCAGCAATAACCTCATAATAATCGTTGAGTTGAATATCGTTCTGCCCATAACCCTTAAAAATTCATATCATCAAGTTAGGCATGACTACGAAATAAAGGATTAGATGTTGATATTAACCATTACAATACCGTACTTTTAAAGACCTTGAATTGCCGAGATTTATAGCAGAAACGAAGTCTCGATCAGTTGAAGAAGCTGCAACAGTGAGCATCCATGGGGCATGATTGGAAACGGTAGAAACTCCACCAGAATTGCCAGCACTAGCCGAGACAAGAATTCCATTTCTGAAAGCATGGAAAGCTCCAATTGTGAAACAATTCTTTAAGTAGTTTTGTTCATCTGAACCCAAAGACATAGTAATAATGTCAACCCCATCAAAAATTGCATCATCATAAGCTTTGAGAACATCCGCACAGCTACAAGTATTGAACCAGCAAACTTTGTAGACTGCGAGTCGAGCAAGAGGGGCTCCACCACGAAAAGTCTGTGCTGCCATTCCTGAGATTGGGAGTGTTACGTCTTGGACCAGTGATCCAACGGCCGTGGAAGCAGTGTGGCTGCCATGTCCATAATCATCACGAGGCGACCGGAACAAGGTTCGCCCATTTGCATAATTTTCCAAAGGACCGTTTTCTGTCTCAAATCCTTGGTGATAGTAGCGAGCACCTATTATTTTCCTGGAAAAAAAAAAAAAAAAAAAAAAAAAGAGGGGAGGTTTTTGAGGGGTTAGAAATTTGAAATTTAAACTCATTTCAAAATTTTCAAGTGGACATCTGTTACAAGGAGTCATTTGTTTTATGAATTCAGATGGAAAAGTGGTCGGGTATAAATAGGTGGATATGCAACACTACCCAACAACTTGAGATTTTGAGTAAATGGACAAATGCCCACCCGTTACAGTTAGTTGGTATCAGAGCCAGACTCAATCCTTGATCCGGTATCACGTTGCGTTCGACCTAAAAAACGTCTAGGTGAGCCTCCCCAAATAGGCAGGGTAACCCGATCACAACAAGGGCGTTGCGAGTTCAGAGGAAGGAGAATGTTACAAGGGGTCATTTGTCCCACATCGGATTCAAATGAATAAGTGATTGAGTATAAATGTTGGGTCTAAAGCACAACCCAAGAATTTTTGGATAAATAAGTAAGCCCCCACCTATTACAACATTTAATATGAAATAGAACTAGTATTTTATTATTCTCATTGTAATTATAATTTAACTTTATTTACCTGTTACAATTTGTGGATGAAAATTCCTCTCCTGTTACACATTCCCCCTTGAATCTCTTTGGTACTGGACCCAGCCCATTTTGGCTGAAACTTGGTGACTCTGGCCAAACTCCTATTAATAAAAAAAATGCATAATTAATACTTTAATAGTCATATTTATATTGTGCTTATGTAAATAGTTTACTATAAAATCAACAATATTTTGGCCTTCAATATGTCATAAAAATTGCATATAATATATACATACCACTATCAAGGTGACCAACAATTACATCATACTCGTAGTTCCTGTCTACCGATATATGAGAGTATAGACTGTCAGCAGTAGCCCCCATGAAATCCCATGACCTTGAGGTATGAAGTTGATGTACCTTGCTCTCAAAAACTGAAATAACTGAATTGTTTTCTGAAACAAGTAAAAGGGAAAGAAATAAAAAAATAAAAAGAAAAAAGAAAAAAGAAAAATTATTAGATACATTGTTTCACAAAGAGATTTTTTCTAGAAAATTAAAATTAAATATTACACATGTGTTATGACTCTTACTTGCAATTTGTTCAGCTTGTTCTGATGTAAGCATGGCCGAAAAACCTCTAAAACTCTTGTGATAGTGGTGGATTATGGCTTGTTGAGCACCATCAATACTAAATTGACATTAAATATTTTAGGCTGATTGCAATGAAACTCAAAAAAAGGGCTAACTATATATTAATAAGATTTTGTTTATATAAATAAATATTATTTTCTGTATTTACCTGCCAACAAATGAGGCTAGCATTTCATGATTACAGGAGATCAAAGTTTCAGAGTTCCGAAACGAGTGGGTGCCCATGTAAACAATGTAATGCTGTAAAAATATATTATTACATGTCATATCAAATATAATCAATAATTTTAATGACCAAAATTAAAAAAAAAAAAATTCAATTTCAAATTCAGGACATCAATTATATGCTCAACATAAGAAAAAAAAAAAATTATCATTAGAGCCCACTCTGTGTATTCTCCTAATGAGCTTACCCTAATTTATCCAAGTTCATAATTCTTATAATGAATCATAGAAACAACAAAAATACTGGTGTAACAAACCTTGGGGGTGGACGTTTCTTCAGTTGAAAAAACATGAATGAAGAATAGAAAAACGAAAAAGCTCAATAAGCTTCTCATTTTTCTTTTGTAAACTTTAACACAATTAAAGAGTCTCTCTCTCTTTTTCGTGGTTTTCATTTACGTACATATCCCTTACCTATTTATATGATTATCTTTAATCTAAAATCAAATAATTTTTCGTTTCATTTAAGCCCATACTTATCTTAATTCTTATCTAGTATTTTATCGAACTATAAAAAAACAATAGACTAGTTTATAGAGATTTTTGTTTGTAAGATAGTTACTTCAACTTCAAACATTATCTAGTTATCGTATTCGAAAAAAAGAAAAAACATAAAATTATAGTCTTACGAAAATTGTCGCTTGCAAATTGGCAAATGATACGCAAATTATTTGGTTATAATTCTTTGGGAAATACTCTCAACCCAATAAAACGTTTTTATACATTTGGATACGTGTAAGTCACAGTTAATTCGTTATTTATTTATTTAATTTTTTAATATTTCAACCGTCTTTCTTTCCTTGCAATTCTAATTCTTCTCTCAATCTTTTTTGTTTGTTCTTTTCTTTATTTTATTTTATTTTTTTATTATTATTTTTTTGTCTATATTATTATTACTTCAATAGGGGACCTACTCCGGCACTTACCGAATTCAATTTATGTAAGAGGATGATGGGTCATACTAAATTCGGTCCTTAAATAATTATTCATATATATATATATATACAGAGAGAGAGATTTTTGTAAATATTTACAAATCTTTATTTATTTTTAGATCTTTTAAATTTTGTTTCTAACCATAAATATTTACTTATATTTATTTTACTTTGTATTTGTAAGTTTATAGATCTATTCTATAAATATATTTCCATAACTAACAAACCCTGCATTTGAAAAATAAAATGAGTTAAGATGGAAAAATTGAGCAAATATTTAGGTAAATTTAGATAAATATAGTTGATTATTAGAATTTGTTTATTAGTTTTGTGATGAACTGATGATGTCATGGTTATTGATTAATTATATTTACTTTAAAAATTTATTTTATTATTTGTAATATTTTCTTATCTATTTTATTATTCATTACATTTACTATTGATGTCTTTAAAAAATATATGATATATTAAAAATAAATAAGATGTGTATAGCCTAATTTTTGATAATTTTTATTCCATACAACGTATTATTTACTCACGTAATCTTATTTTTAAGTTTATTTTAGCCAAATTTTTGTGACATTTAAAAAAAAAAATCAAATCAAATTTTTGTGACATTTAAAAAAAAAAAAAATCAAATTATTTACCCATGTAATCTTATTTTTTTCTTTTTTGTTTTTTTTTTTTTCCCTTCGACTACGGCCTATGGTTCAGTTAGAGGAAAAGATCATCAAAAAAAGGTTTGAAGGCCAAGAATTCTTGATTGATCAAATGTGTGCTCCGGTTCTTAGGCTATCTGCACTAGTCTCTCTGGATTTTAGCTCTCTAAAAATGTCACTTCAGCTTTTTCAAGAGTCACGTCAACAATTCCAAGAGCCACATTATGCATTCCATTAGGCTTTTCGAATTTTCGCTCTCCAAAAAAATATATAAATAAAATTATTATTATTTTTTAAAATTTTCCTAACGGCTATATTTTTAACCGCAATATTCCCAATAGTTATATTTGTAACGACCATATTTTCTTAACGACAATATTTTTCAATCAAACAATATTTTTTTAAATTATTAAAAAAAATAGGATTGATATTATAACTTGCAACAATACATTATCCATTATGGACTAAAAAAAAAAAATTAAAAATAACTTAAACAATACAATATCTTAAATTGGAATAAGAAAATAAATAGACCAAGGATTACAAAATCCTATGGGAACTTTGGGATGGACCGTGATTGCAAAAATGTCAATATCTCATTTTGTCGTGCAATAATTCAAGCTTTCTCCGCTTCTGTTGGTGTCGAATTTGGATCTATTAACATGATCTCCTTCTCTTCAACTCTCTGTTTCTCTAGAATCTCTAGTTGCCTCGTCTTCTCTTTCTCTACCTTTCTTACCTCTCGTGCCAATTGGGCATCCTTCATTTTTTCCTGATGACTCTCATAACGGCATTTGATATCATTAAAATTCGAAACGAATTAATTTTGCAATTCAAATGCTGAATTAATTTTTGTTGGGCGCTGCTTCGCCACTTTTCTTCCTGCTGGTCATTGTAGTTGTTGATATTCTTCCATACCGGGTGAATCATTTTCCCCCATGTGTGGTGATTCTTCAGTTGAAACTTCATCTGTCGTGCCTGCATGACTTGACGGAGTAGATGGTAATGAGTGCCCAACAGACTCATTAATGTCAAAGTCAAATCCACTCCTCTTCTTCGACTGTTTTTTCTTTTTTCCTTTATCTACTTGTTCGGCACAATGTGAATGTCATTTATTGTTATGCTTCAAGATCTCCTAGTAATTTTCTAACTTAAATTCACTACCTGTTTGGCTACGAAACAGGTCTTTAGCTGCTATTATCTACACGAAAAAATTAAAAGCCGACTATTTAAAATATTTACGAGTTATATTTAAACAATAAATTTTGAGATATTATTTTGTATTTGGCAATTATCGTAAACAAAATTAGTCCAAGTCGAGTTATAATTCAAGTTACTTGTAATGCAAGTTATCAAGATCGACGGAGACGGAAGGTTGTTCAAAGATGCTATAACTGCGATCATCACAGAAAATGAAGAACAATATGTTAGGAAGAAATCCAAAAAGGTTAGGACACATTCCATATTTGGTTAGTTTCAGAATATATTAACAACAATGCCTAGAACCTTAGGAATCAAGTCTGGCAGACTTGAACCAGTCCATAATTCTTGGAACCGGTTCAAGCCATTTAAATTTGGCTTTAAAATCTTTCTGCTATCCTTGAACCGGTTCCCACTTTCTTGAACTGGTTCAAGACTTCATCATTGGCCTCGAAATTTATTCTGCCATACTTGAACCGGTTCCCAAATTCCTGAACCGGTTCAAGAGTCCTGATAGCCTATGGAAAGTTCAGTTTCATGTTTCAGATTTCTCTCCTAGTTGGTATAGAATTGTTCCAAGTCTTATGCACCAATTTTATTATATATTCAGAGGGACTAGGACATTCTAAAACTTTATATAAACCTTGTCATACACATAGGTTTGTTCAAGGTTTTGCATTATCAGTTTATTATTCTTAAAAGCCTTAAGAAGATTTTTGTATCAGAAATTCTTAAAGAATTTTCTGTTTATCTTTCTAGAACACATACACATAAACACATAGTGAGTTAAGAGTTATGGTGTTCGAATCCTGATCGTGATTATACAGTTGCATACATATCAATCAGACAAAAGCAGATCTACTTCTAAATTAAATCCAGAAGTTGAATAGAAGTAAAAGCGATCACACTTTGAAAGGGTTGGAGTATTCGAAGAGTGTTGTCTAATCTACCTGCTACTATTCTACAAAGATCAAGCATAAGCCTGAGGTCAAGTTGCTGTTGGACGGGGAGTCGCAAAGCCAGACGATTGTCAGCAGTTGGTGTTTGGTAGAACGATAGGGTGTGAGCCAGAGTCAAAGTTCAGTGTACTTTGTTTCAAGCAAAGTGGATTGGTAAACTTTGGACTGCACACTACACGAGGTTTTCCCATACAAACAATTGACGTATTTTATCAACTGGTGTTTCTTCGCTAAAATCCTGGTGTCATCTCTAACTTTACTTTACTTTATTTTATATTGCATGATATTAATTTTTTAATTGCTAAAATAAAGAAAGTTAGAAAATCACAAGATCTGTTTTTAAATTATCAAAACTTTCTAAATATTCTACTGCATATGACTCATATAAATAACTCACCATATCATCACTGCTAAAGCCATTAAGACGATTCATTTCGATAATAGTCATGCACCCAAAAAATTTGCTAATTTTTTGTTGGATCACCGACCAATGATTTATCAAACCTTCATTAAGGGTGGCAAAGTTCGACACGACCCATCAACACAACACGTACACGACATGAGTTAAATGGGTAATGGGTTTACCATAAACGGGTTCGTGTCGTAAACGGGTGTAATACCCCTAATTTTAAAAGGATAGTCTCGGTATTTATTTATTTATTTTTATTGTATTTTTTTAATTATTTAATTGATTATTTGACTAATTGTTTATGTGTTTAATTGAATTAAGTGTTACTTGATTAATTGGCTACTTATCTATGTGTTATTTGTATTTTATCCAGGTGTTATTTGTATTATTTGTTTAATTAGATTGTGCGCTTAAATGATGTATTTGATTAATTGTAATTAATTATAAATTAAATGATTAAATGTTTTATTTTATTTTATTTTATGGTTATGGTTAGTGGTAATGGGCTAACTAATTGGGTCCCATGGACTACTTGAATAGGAGATTTGATAGGTATGGATAATTACCCATGGATAGTTGTATATGTATATATATATATATATATGTATATACATATATATAAAAAAGAAAGTAATTTATTAATATTATAGTAACTTTAGTATTAATAAATAATCTGATGTATATATTTTATATATTTATATAATAAGGATATACATATATTTTATACTTAACATGTTTTAAGTTACCTTTTTAATATTATGGTAACTTTAGTATAAATAAATAATCTGATGTATATATTTTATTTATTTAGTGAAGATATAGATAGATTATATACGTAACATGTTTTAAGTTACCTTTTAAAATTATGGTAACTTTAGTATTAATAAATAATCTAATGTATATATTTTATTTAATTAATAAGGACATATATAGATTATATACGTAACATATTCTAAGTTACCTTTTTAATATTTTTATTTTTTTTATTTTTCTTTATTAAGTTGACTTGGATTGGGAAAAGGAATAAGATTATTATTTAGCCTATAAATATACAACTATAGGTTGAAAAATGAGTGAAAATATATCACGTAATA